ATTTATTTTTATTAGCAAGAGGGTCAAAAATACCCGAAAAAATAGGAACACGAAAGGGTTAAGCTTAATTATGTTCACTTTTTATATAGAAAATGGTTTTGTGAGTAACTTGTGCGTGGACAGAAATAAAGCTGTCATTTGAATTGATGCTATTGTGTAAATTTGGTTGTCAAAAATAAAAAATCTTATTCTCACTTAATTTACTCTGTCACATGATATTCATCTTTAAAGATTACAATAACCCATTTCGTAGAGTACTTTGTAGATTTTGAGTTGCAATCTTCAAGAAGATTGTTTTTCTCACTAGTAGATAGAGAAACAAAACGACCTTGCTGTAGCTGGGGGTTTTATGCTTTTGTTTCCTCCTTTTCTTTAGTTTCCTTTGGGTATCTGTCTTCAAGTAAAATGTCAATAAAGTTCAAGTCTTCAAAGTCCTCCATTTTTTTCCAGAAACCAAGAAACAAACAAATCATCGCTCGCGTTGCTAACCTTATTTCCTCACGATGTATGTTGTATAAAACCGTAATTGACCAATCAGAGCGCGCGTTATATGTTTGTTATTTTATAAAATCAGTTGAATTCAGTATTCTGTGCTATTTATTAAATTTGAAAGCAAATTATATAATCTTTCTTTTCTGCTACACTTTACTATGAGTTCAAATTGTTTATATCTTCATTTTCGTAGTCTCACTATTAAATGACATAATTTCAAGAAATATGACTTCAATCCTAGTTAGTAAAGTTGTGCCTTTTGATATCTCGTCAAAGATTTCACTTATCTTTACTAAAAACGATCAAACTCAATAATCCGATGATGAATTTTTTTTTAAACTTCGAAGTCAGTTACTTTAGGTAACGCATTTATATACCCTAAAGTTTCAAGTTCACTGAAATAATTAAAAACCGTCAAATAATATTCTCAATTCTGCATACATTTGTATCCCAATGCTAAATATGCGACTGCTTTTTTCACTCACATTTTGTTTATATCGTTACGCCTTTCTATTGTCCAGAATATTTCCGAAGTCGTGCATTCCAATGCCTCACGCTTTACATTCAATGCCTGATTGCTTTCCGAAACCCTTCCGACTATGATAATTTGTGGTTGCAATTTCACAGAGCTAGCAAATGACAAAGGACTTAGAAAAACACTTGTCACACAACTATATTACTCTAAAGACTAAAAAATAACAAAGGACTTGACACTTGACTAAAAAAAATTTTGTACCAAATGAAGTCATTTGTTATTTGTTTTATCAATGTAGTCTTGAACGGTAGCACTGTATTTATCAAACAGCTCCTCATTATTAAGCAATCTTTTCTTGAGCATCTTTAAGCGCTGTTCTGGTAATGATCGGTTGTTTGACAGGTAAAGAATCTCATTGGGCAGAATCCTATTGTTGTCGGCGACATGTACATACAGCTGAGTGATTTTCAAAGATCGGTATAATTTATGAATATATTATAGGATATGCATTATTAACCAACTTTCCTTAGCACTGATTGGTTCGAGCGAAGACAAAAGACTTGTCAATCATAAATGATTGACAGCACTGAGCTCTCTTGAGTCATGTTATGCCGTGTCAATCACAAAATTATTTACTGCCTGATAAACTTGGACTCCTCTTATCGGCTACAGAACAGATAGAATTCAGTCATCATGGCAGACAAGAAACAACGTCTGCAATCCAGGGAAGATTCACGAGAAACAACGACAGAAAAGAGCATTGCTTCTCCAAATAGAGCATTAGTAGAGCAAGTTCCGCATCTTGTTTGTCAGAGTGCTTTATTTGGGGAAAGCATTACGAAGAGTTTTGTTTGGTCCTTCAAATCGTGCGACGTCCAAGGAAGGATAATTTATCACTCAAAACCAAACAACGGCTCTTTTAGGAGGCACTTTATTATTAAGAGTGATGATCTATGCTACTGTAATTTAAAACATGGTTTTGTTTTTGAACTGAAAAGACTGAATACTATGAATGTGGAGTCGATTTGTTACTTGCACTACAACGTTCTAGCAAAGTGAAACAGTTATTGACGGTGCGCTTCTAATTTAAACAAGCACTTCCAAATTACGTCTGATTATACTTTAAATTGTTCCTGTTTACTGGCTTTCGCATATTATCGAGGGATATGTAAACTAGAGAAGCATTGCATTTTGGAACGATAAAATGATAAATCGGACATGTGCCGGCATGGAACTCAGTCCTCGAACTGGTCACAACTTTGAAGCTCAAACGCCTCTTAAAAAAACTTTAAAAAGCTTCACCTCTGTGAATATAATAGTAATGAGTATTATAACCAGTTGCACTTGACTGTGTTCAACCCTTATATATCCAAAGAATGGTGTTCTATTTTAATATTCAAATACCAGTGATTAGAAGTACATACCTGTTTTTCTTGTGTATTTTACACCACAGGCATGCATATATTGAATTTGCTGCACTTAGACCCATTACCTGTAGCAAGAACTTTAAGACCAAGACATTTTTGTAGTAATTACATATTTTAAAGATAACAAGTCCAAAAACAACAACCCACTTTTCTTACTTCTGCTCTGTCAGACTCATGGTTTCGCAAGCAAAATTTTGCTATTCGATGTGAACTTAAGGTTGAATCCACCACGTTTCTCCTTTACGTCGCTCACGAGTTCTACTGATGGCACCGATTTCAAGCCGTCGTCAAAGTTACGGCGCTAAAGCTTTGCTGCTTTTGTTCTGAGGCTGTCTTTATTGTCATCAGCTGTGGTCTTGAGGGCAAAGTTCGCACAACCCGTGATGATAATTGTAAATTTTCATTCATTTAGTTTTTATAATGGTTAAGAGCTATTTATGGCTTTTTTATGGAAATAGGGCTATATAAATAAAGTTATTATTATTATTATTTTACTTGCTACATAAGGCAAACAAATGTAATTCTTGAAAAATAAGTTTGTCCTAATGCGATGCATATATCTTTTGGCTGATCGTTCAGCATTTTTCCGCGCAAGATCTTGTCCTGCGTTTTGGGGGCACTGTAATCACCTGACGGCGGCTTCTGTCACTAACAGCTTCTTCTTTGGAAGTTTCACGAACCCAGATGGTTGGAATTGCTCCCATTTCGAGGTGGCGCCGACTTCCATCCTGGTGACAAGCTCTCGAAAAACAGCTGTCTTTAAAATGATCGGAACAAATAACAAATCTTGTAGTAGGATTGAAGTTCATGCGATAAGTATGCACGGACCGCTTCCATTGGTCACACTCCGGTTTACCTGTCGGTGAGTAAGTAAAAGTTTATGATCGAGAATGGAGGCAATAAGCCATATACATCCGGATACAGGTCCGGATATCCTATGGTATAACGTAAGAAGATATACACGTGAACTTGTTGTTCACGGGAAATAATATACAAAGCCTCTTCCTTGAAAACGTAAAATTTCTATTTGCCAGCAAATATTTTCTTTGCTACACGGCAGGTGAGTTTTTGAATTGACCCAAAATAACTCAGAGTTACTGCAGCTAGCCCATATAACCAAACTATAGGTGACGGAAGACAAGATAACACTAAAATGAAACTTTTCCAACACACTCTTGGGTAAGAATCTCGTTTTTCTCAACAAGTTGAGTTTATTTGCAAAACTCTTTTTAACTTCGGACAAATGTGGTGACCATGTCAGCTTGTCGTCCACGGTTACTCCTAACAAACGTGTTATATCGACCCATTTGATAATGCGCAATATACTGTTGTCTATTATAATATTATAGTACAACTACTTACTTGCTGTGCTCTTCAAGATAACCAAGAACAAGGCTATGTAAATCTTGTTTGTCAAGACAGTCCAAACGTACGTGAGTTTCACAGGAAGAACAAGACACCAGGAGGGAGCACAAAAGGTTTAAAACTAAACGGGAAACTTTAGAAAATATTTCAACACAAACATGGTTTTTGCAAATGGGGCAACTTGATGAGTTTCCAGTGTTCTATAACCATTTGGCTATACATTCATAAAAGAAGTGGCATTTTAAAGCTTGTCAAGAACTTCTTTACAGACGGAACAGACAAGTTCTTCTGGTGGTAAGACAAATCGCTCAAGAGCTGGCATTTTACTAGTAGTGGCAACGGGAATTATTTCCTTTGGTATAACGTTTGTTATTTCTTCTAACTAGTTAAAAGAAGTTTCAGTAATTTATTTTTTCTTGTCAGTCTTATCCCTTGATTTCGTAATTTTTCTTTTTCTTCATCCATTCTAAAATGTTTGAAATACTTCGCAGATGTCGCATGAGTTATGATGAGGAAACCAGTTAAATGCATCTTCGGAGACTTTTAAGTTCTGATGTGTTTCCCGTTTGAAACACTTAATGTAACATTTATTGCACATTTTGTCTTTCAAGTTGTGATGTACTTCCCGTTTGAAACACTTAATGTAACATTTAATTTATTACACATTTTAGTTGGATAAATACGGAAGCCCTGAAGGGACTTTCGACTTCGGACTTCAGGTCACTCAATCCACGAGTCAAACCACGATCGAGGGAGGGTGAGATAAACCTGGGTAAAGCTAGAAGCTAACGCCGTTCCGTTTCGCCACCAGCTCAAATCTAAATGAAATTCGGAATTAAGTCGATTGGTGTGACGGTGATTCCTGAAGCAGGACAGGATGTTGATCATGCGTCAAATAAAGGCGCGACTGCCCAAACGACTTTTTCTGCGTGGTGGAGGTGACCGATTGGAGACTCCAGGTTGCTGTGGCGGTACCATCGACGACCGGCCCAGGAGTCTAAAAGAAGTCGCAAACGTGTAAGCTTTTTCGTTGGGAGGCGGGCAATTTAATTGCCGGAGTTGAGATACATCCTTAGCACTACCAAGGTTGAAGACGGACCCTCACACTTCTTGGGATGTAAAGGTAAGGCAAGGCGAGAGTAGACCTCTAATTGCAGCTTTATAGATCAGTAATACTGCACAATATATTGCCACCGAATCGCCCTGTAAGGCTCGCACGGCCAGTTGCTATCGAATTGCAAGATACAACGAGCGAAGTGTCAATTCAGAAGGAATGTGTAATGTTCATCCAAACTAGCGAGATGGCAAGCCGTTTAGTAGACAAACGAACAGCTGCGGCATAGGGCACCATGATAGGGGAAACGCAGGAATACTATGCGAAGC